TAAAATCAATTACTTTAGGCGACGTTTGTAGACTAACCAACACGTACCAATGCTGTCTCTTATACACATCTAGATGTGTATAAGAGACAGCATTTATTGATAATCATCTAACCAATAATTTGAACTTAATTAAACTAAACTAAAACCAAAATATTTGATAATAATTTTTGGTACATTTGCACATTTGTTTTGGTTTTTTTTTTCTTCTCTGTTGTTGTTTAAAGCGCCTCGAGGTTGTGTCAACGCGAGGCGCTATGTAATTATTATTGTTTGTGATAAATGGTGACAAACATCTTTACCTGGGATAAATGGATATTGCCGTGAAAATGTCTTTCTAATACGCATCTTCCATACAGCATCCTGAGAAACAAGTTTATAAAACCGCTTACAAACTAAACTTAACGTTCCAATCACAAACTTTGCATCTAAAAACTCGACAATAAGTAGTAGGATTTCTGTAGGTAAGACTAATAAACATAGGGGCGCTTCAGAAATAGAAATAGGTGACAGAGTGTCAACAAGTTCTTCATCGATTTGGTCTTCTGATTCTATAGACAACTGTCTAAGGTGCTCTGTGAATGATTCTGATGAGGGACGTGACAGAGGATCTGAGGAATCTTCCACAAGTCCTTCATTGAATTGGTCTTCTATAGACAGCTGCCTAAGAGTCTCTGTGAATGATTCTGATGAGGGATGTGACAGAGGATCTGAGGAATCTTCCACAAGTCCTTCATTGATTTGGTCGTCTACAGACAGCTGCTTAATAGTCTCTGTAAATATTTCTGATGATCCCATCATCTACAATATAATGATAAAAAGTTCTAAATTTATTCAATTAACTTTTAAAAAACAAAGGAAGTTTTGCAGTTTAGTAAAATAATGATTAAATGTGCTCTATTTCAACCTAGTTATATGTAGGGCTATGTAATTTGTATGTGTAAACAGGATACTAGTGTCACTCAATGTGAATTATGTTCTAGTGAACCTTATTATGGCCTTAACCTGCAGAAGGATGAAACACCCTGATTCTGTTATCGCTTTCCCTCTTTCAAGTAGTTTGCCCTTGTTATATTCAATGTAGAACATTTCTTACTGAACACTTTCACTATATGCAAATGTTAAAAGCCATATAATTTTAGAAAATTATTTATGCTTTAATTTTGAGATAGAATAAATTCACACCATCAGTCATTGATATATACAGAGCTGCCTGGCTACAGATTACACCAAGAATTACAGAAACTAAGAAAGTATAATACATACTCCAAGTATTGAAATACACGCCATCGTGTTGGGATTCAATATTTCGACATTAATTATGTCATCATCAGGAATGATGATGACATAATTAATGTCGAAATATGGCGTGTATTTCAATACTTGGTGTATTATACTTTCTTATCTGAGATTAATCAGTGGACCTTTCGGTTTTACAGAAACTATGTACCTTAGATTTTGAAAGGAATTAATATGGCCTAGTCTAGGGCTTAGATAGGACTACCATAATTAATAAGTCTTATTATTATATTAAAACTTCATTGAAAATGTTATAAATTAAAAGTATTGTATAAATTTTAAAAATAGAATTTACTTACAATGTTAAATTGCATGTGACATGCAGAAGTAGGCCTACTATTTAGCCTAAAGTATCATTCAATGCTTAAAGCAAAAATCTTGTCTCAGAGTCTGGTAGTTGAGTGAATCATTCTCACTCTCTCAGTCTGCAAGATAAATTTAGACATGATATGATTGTTGTAAGGTTTAATAATAGAATGCACAGTCTCTGTGAACTAGGCATATATAGTTAATATATAATTAATAAGAATTAATCAAGTGAATAATTAGTCCTAACTAATTTGCAACAGCTTGTACTTGCAAAAAAATATTTTTCACCTGTTTTACTGTATATCATCTTTATCATAAGTTCCATATATTTGCGTAACATTTTATAAAATAAAAACATAGCCATGAGGCTTTGATGCCCTGGCCTTAGCCATTGACATGACATAAAAATTCCCCAATCGCTCGACTTCGGCTTTGAAAAGAGCCTTGGTTATTTGTTTGTTAAAAAAACTTTGAATTTGCTGGGTGCCCCTTTAGGCTCCGGGGTCCTTGCCTTTGCCAGTGAGAGCTCATAGCCGTTACGCCACTGCACTAGAAACGTTATCATGCTCTATAGGGTCAAAACCACTAAAATTTACCGATTAGCTAAACAGTGTGTCGCAAACATTTTATTTATTATTAATCAAAAGTTACAAAAGTAATGACAAATATCACTTTTAATACATGGTAACAACAAGTAAAGCGCCCTAAAATTTCAGCATTTAGGTATGATTACGGTTCATTGAATATTGTAAACGGGACAATACATTGATGTGGCAAATCACTAAATTTAAATATATTGATATATAGTTTAAAAATAAGGAGGTGTGTCACTTTAAAATCAGTTGATATAGCAAATTTTGTTTATTGCCTACAAGAAAAAAAATAATCAACATGATCACATTATTTTAAGAATACATTTTTTCCGACTCAATTGTGTTGCAACATTTGATGAAACATACGTTACCGGGTCATGCAGTTGGACATTTTATTATGCATACTCAATTAAAAATGAATTATTCATCATTAATAAAAATCTATGTTTTTACTTCCTGGGTAAATTTTAGGGCAATATGAATCACCATGTAAAGGAAAAATCTAAGAAAGTGATGTTTTGTCGCCCGTATACTTAAGAAATGAAACCTACGTTACCACCGTAGCAAAAAATAGAAGCGTTGATGATAACACATGATGAAGTTAAAATAAAACCTAAGTTTATACCAAAACATGCGTTAATGTAGTATTTACTAAACCCTAAGTAAAATTAACTAAAATCACGACTAAGCGTCGACGTGCTTTGTAAACTGCCATTTGACGTTGAGAGGGTGTGGTTGACAACGAGACGCTCTTTAGATTGTTAACCATGTGATTAGATTGTAACGTATGTTTCATAATATTGTAACGTAATGTTTCAATTTTCAGTTCACTATATTTTTTGGCTTTATTGCTGCGAAGTAGCCAATTCATATTCTTGACAGCAGTTTGACCTCTGAAAGGTCATTGTTTGTCAAAAATCAAGGGCTAAGACGACTGAAAAGTGGAGTTTCCTTCTTTCGTTCTGCCGGCTAAAATCAATTACTTTAGGCGACGTTTGTAGACTAACCAACACGTACCAATGTCCGCATGTCGCACTAGCCTTATCCTACTCTAGGCCTAAACTAGCTAGGATGGTATAGGCCTAGCCTTGAAGGGATGAAGGCCCTTCGCTGCCCCTGCCCCCCCCCTCCCAGCGCCTGGCTCACAGCTATTGGCTCCTTCGTTAGGCCACTGATCCTTTGTAGTTCCGCATTTCCAAATTTTGGGGGTGCTGATGGAGGGCGCGAAGGCGAAGTGGTGGGCTCGACGATCAGTTGCGGGGCGCTAATTCATAAAATAAGGTGATTTTAGGCGAACCTTTTTTGGGGAGGAGGACGTGAGTAATTTATGAAGCAGCGTACACCCCCACCACCTAGATATGCCACTGTATATCGTGTGATTACCAGGACCCACTCTGTCGAGGAGATATTTGGAATGAAGACATGAATGACAAAAATTAAAGCAATAGGCCTATAATATATAGGCCTAGGGTAGCTAGTTTCAAAACCTATAGTGGGCGCTGTTCTTCGGCGATACAAACATCGTGACAGAAAATAGTGCCTCGACTAGGATACCCTATGTATTTATTTTACGGAAGGATATCACAAATTTGGCCAAATTACTTCCAGACAACTCTTCAGAAATAAATTCCCAACCTAGTATTAGTATGGTTTTTCAAGCGTGTGAATCGATTCAGTAGAAGTTTTTTGTTTACAACAAATGTTTTGTTGTTTTTTAAGAATTAAAGGAAACCTACGCTAGTGTTTTAGTTAACATGTTTGTTTTATTCAGGATTTAATATATAAAGGTAGGCAAGTTAAAAATAATATATTTGTAGCGCCTAATTAAAATATATGGTCCACATTATGATGTATTCTATTGTATTTGAGCTAGGCTTGGCTCATACCAGAGCAGTAGATAGAGAGTTTGATTGTGATTGGGTCGATCGCAATCATATGACTTAAACCGGCCATGTTGTCACCAAAACAAAACATTAAAGCTATACGCGTGCATGCGCCTGGGCTGTTTGGTAACGACATGGCGTCCATGCGCCAAGTTGGCCAAACTCTCTACGGCTCTGGCTTGTACGGGTTGAGGGCGCCCTAGTGAATTTTACCACGGCTACACGCGGGGTAAATAATGTTTTCCCCGCTGGCTACAGTGGTGTCTGAGCCCTATAATTAGGAACGGATTTAGGAGATTTCAAAGAAATATATTTTGCGTAGAATCTATCAGTTGATAATAATTATGAAATCTAAAATAATTACATACAAAATTATAATCGTTAGTATTGTTTTAGATGAATAATCAGAGTTAAAAAGCTTCTTTTTAAACACATAATTATACTGTAAGGGACATATGTTTCTTGTATAATAAAAATAAAAGGAATTAACTCCAGCAAAAAACGTACTTAATATTGTAATATCTCCGCTAATACCGGTCCGATTTACATAATTTTTGTTTTAAAATGCTTCATTTAGTTGTCTTTCTTTTAAAAATAATTTTAAAATAATGCGAGACATTTCTAATTTTTATGTTTCTAGCTACCTACTCCTAGGGGGTGCAGGTCAACTCGGCCACAAGTCAACTCGGCCACAGTCAACTCGGCCACAAGTCAACTCGGCCACAAGTCAACTCGGCCACAAGTCAACTCGGCCACAAGTCAACTCGGCCACAAAAATTTTGGCTTCTGCCAACTCGGCCACAAGTCAACTCGGCCACAAGTCAACTCGGCCACAAATCAACTCGGCCACAAGTCAACTCGGCCACAAGTTATTTAATGTAAATCTAAGTTTTTGCATCCTTTTTCTTCAATATATGATTGAAATAAAGTACACAGTACAGTACTGTATGTTTTAGTAAAACAAGACCACCACACTACCAAAAGAGATTTGAATGCTATTGCCTATGAATTAAAAAGAGTTATTTATTAA